ATGCTGCCACTTGGCTAAGCCATCTCGTTGAGGGTCTTCCTCTTTTTCTCTGATCCTCCACCTCACCAAACATGATATGTTTCTCCAGTGACTGGTCCCTCCTGACAATATGTCCAAAGTATGAGAGACGATGTTTGGCTCTAAATTCAGGTGGGATCTATTCAAGGTCATATTTTGGCTCTCGTGGACTTGTTTTAATTTTCTTCAGCTTCAGTCTGAATTTACATATGAGCAGTTGACAGTCTGTTCCATAGTCTGCACCTGGCCTTGTGTTGGCTGATGATATGAGCTTTTCCACCATCTCTTTCCACAGATGTAGTCACTTTGATTTCTGTGTATTCCATCTGGTGAGGTCCATGTGTATAGTTCTCTTTTAAGTTGTTAAAAAAAGTTATTTACAATGAAAAAGTTATTGGTCTTAACAGAATTCTGTCATGCGATCTCCAGCATTGCTTCTTTCACAAAGACCATATTTTTCAACTACTAATCCTTCCTGTTTCCAACCTTTGCATTCTAGTCACCAGTAATGATCAATTTGCATATTTGATCAATTTCAGACTGAAGAAGTTGGCAGAGTTTTTCAATTTCGTCTTCACTGGCTTTAGTTTCGGTGCATAAATTTGAATAATAGTGATATTAATTGGTCTTCCTTGGTGTTAAGTGGTGTTGAGTCAATTCCCACTCATAGTGACTTTGTCTAGAGTTTCAGAGGAGTGGCTGGTGGGTTTGAACTGCTGACCCCGACTTCATGTTTCAAACTGATCTTGCGGCCCAGTTCGTTATCCTGCAGTGCCACCCCAGGGCTCTAGGAATTCCTTGTAGGAATATGGATATTACCCTATCGTAGTATTATACTTCAAGATAGATCTTGAAATGTCCTTTTTGATGATGAATGTGTCACCATTCCTGTTTAGTTTTTCTTTCCCAGCATACTAAACCATGTGATTGTCAGATTCAAAATGGCCACTACCAGTCCATTTCAGATCAGTAATGCCTAGGATATCAATCTTTATGTGTTCCATTTCATTTTTGATAACTTTCCATTTTCGTAGATTCATACTTAATAACATTCCATGTTCTGATTATTAATGGATGTTTACAGCTGCTTCTCTTATTTTGCGTTGTGCCCCATCAGCAAATGAGGGTCTCCAGGGCTTTACTCCATCTGCATCACCATGGTCAGTTCTACTTAGAAGAGGCCGCTCTGCCCCAGCTGTGTATTGAGTGCCTTCCAATCTAAGGGGTTCATCTTTAAGCACTTATCTCTGACAATGGTGGTACTATTCACAAGGTTTCAGTACTCAATATTCTGGTGATATCTAACAGTGTTCCACTGGTATTCATAAGATTTTTCAGTGCTAAGCATTCAGAATTAGTCTGCCTTTGTCTGAAAGCTCAGCTGAAACCTGTCCACCGTGGGTGTACCCTGCTGGAATTTAAAATACCTGTGGCATTGCTTCCAGCTTCACAGTAATATAAGCTTCCACAACAAACTGACAGACAGGTGGTTGAGCCTATATCATGCTCAAGGCAGACATTTTTCCTAGTGTAAGCTGTTGTTTGGTTTTAAGAAGACTTAATGGAATTATAGCTCATTAAAAAAAAAAAAAAATCTTGTGAGATTTTTTGCCTCCCAAGAGACACCGGTTTCCTCCAGGCCAGTAGCTTTAAAACTTGATCTACAGGAAGAAAGATATTTCATATCATAATCTGTATATGCATCGGCACAGAGCTGAAACAAACGTTTCACAAGACAATGTCTTACACTTTGAAGTTTTGTCTTCTGTAATTTTTTAAAAATATGGATCACAACCTACAAATGAGAAGGAATGCACAGTTAGTTGATTGAAGATCAGTGGTTCAGAAGGTCAAGTTTTGTGAACTTTTATTTAGTTGATGATATATTTTTTGTGGTAGGTATGGGTTGTTATTTTAAATGTGTGTTGTTGTTTTTTTAATTATTATTCAGTCGCTATCAAACATTTTTGAAAGCCACAGGACTAGGACATGGAATGCTTTGCATTTTGGGAAGTTGTAACGTTTGTCAAGAAGCCCTTGTAGTTCAGTGGGTTGTGAGTCAAGTTCAAATCTTCCAGCAGCTCCACAGGAAGAAGATGAGGCTTTCTGCTTCTGTAAAGCTTTACAGCCTTGGAAACCTTATTCAGGGTCACTATGAGTCAGCTCTGGTAGCGTAGTGGTTACGAATCGGGCTGCGAACCTTAAGGTCAGCAGTTCGAAACTACCAGCCGCCTCACGGGAGAAAGATGAGGCTTTCTACTCCCGTCAAGATTTACAGTCTTGGAAACCCTGTACAGGTTCGCAATGGGTCGGAATCGACTCGACGGCACTTAACAACAACAACAACAACAACATGAGTCCAAACGACTTGAAGCACACAAGCAGCACCACCAGCAGCCTTTGTCTTGGTGGGTAGGTCCCTTAGGGTTACCGGTGACATAGTAGCAATATTTACCATAAGCTAGGCTCTGCTTTTGTTATTTGCTGTTGAGTCATGGCAACCCCATGTGCAGAGTAGAACTACCCTGTAGAGTTTTTAAGGCTGTGGCCTTTCAGAGTCAGCTCACCAGGCCTGCCTTCTGAGGTGTCTCTGGTTTGAACCACCATCCTTTCAGCTAGTAGTTGAGCATTTAGCCATTTGCACCACCCAGGTGCAAATGGTGCATTGTCTTATTAGGCACAGCTCTAAATATTTTTAATGCATCATTGCATTTAATTTTCACAATAGGCCTTTTTGTTTATTAATTCACTAAACAAGTATTTAGTGTATGTGCTTAGGACTAGGTACCTAGGTATTGTTCTGGGTACTTAGGATATACAGTGAGCAAAACAGAGCCATTTTATACATGAGGAAGGATAAGTAACTTTTCTACGGTCCAAAGGAGTCTAGACAACCAGAGCGCAGATGCTTCTTGTTGTTGTTGTTAGGTCAGTTCTGACTCCTTGTGGCCTTAGACACAACAGAGTGAAACACCATCTGGTTGTGTTCTATCCTTACAATTTTTGTTACATTTGAGCCCATTACTGCTACGACTGTGTCAATCCATCTTGTTGGGGTGCAATCCATATTGAAGGCTGAAGTCTTTGGTCTTCATCAGTAAGTATTTTAAGTTCACTTACTTCCAGCAAGCAAGATTGTATCATCTGCAGATCACAGGTTGTTAATGAGTCTTTCTTCAATTCTGATAATCACATTCTTCTTCATATAATCCAGCTTCTTAGATTATTTGCTAAGTGCACAGACTAAATAACTATGATGAAGGAATATACCCCTGACACACGTTTCCTGATTTTAAACCATTCAGTATCCCCTTGCTCTGTTTCAGCAACTGCCTGTTGGTGTATGTACAGGTTCCTCATAAACACAATTAAGTATTCTGGAATAACCATTCTTTGCAATGTTATCCATAGTTTGTTATGATCCACACAGTTGAATGCCTTTGCACAGTCAGTAAAGCACAAGTAAATATCTTTCTGGTATTTTCTGTTTCAGCCAAGATCCATCTGACGTCAAGCAATGAGATCCCTTGTTCCGTTTCCTCTTCTAAATCCAGTTGCGTTTCTGGCAGCTTCCTGTCGATGTACTGCTACGATTGTTTTTGAATTATCTTCAGCAAAATTTTACTAGCATGTGATATTAATTATAATATTCGATGATTTCTGTATTTCATTGGGTCACCTTTGTTTGGCATGGGCACAAAAATAGATTTCTTCAGATCTGCTGGCAAGTTACCTGGTCTACAAAGAAATTTGGAAGATAGTTGTTTGCCTCCAGCACTGCATCAGTTTGTTGTAAGGTTTCAGTTTCTGTTCTGTCAATTCCTGGAGACTTGTTTTTTTGTCAAATGCCCTTAGTGCAGTTTGGACTTCTTCTTTCGGTACCATCAGTTCTTGATCATATGCTGATCATAACTCAGTGTTTGATTGTTGCAACTTGGCTGGTGGTGGCTTGCTTCTGGCATCTGATGGGTAGAGTCCAAGGATGCTGTCCTACAATGCACAGCACAGCCCCTGGCAGCAAAACATTATACCGTCCAGAAGGTCAGTGATGCCCAGACTGAGACAGCTTGCCTCAAAGCATTCTCACAGTGGTGCTCTTTCCCCACAGGGCCACCCTCCTCCAAGTGCGAGACACCGTCAGCAGCCACGTGGAGCAAGTGTTTCGGGTCCATGAGCAGCACGCAGATGTTGTTGGCATTGATGCTGCCCTGAAGCCTTCAGTTGTCAGCCCCTCTCTGGCCGACATGTTAGAATGGTTGCAGGATATTGAGAGACATTATCGAAACTCATATCCTTTGCATGATGGTGTCCTAAGTTGTTCTAAGAAATCTCTTGTAAATTCAACTTTTACAAGATTAGACATGTAACGAACAAGTCTGGGTTAGTTCTTTGGTTCCTGAACTTGTATTCCCCCTGTGGTCTTTAGTACAATTATTCCTCATATGACGTATTGAGTGCCTGTCACTTGCCAGGAACATTAAACAAAAAACGATCCTGTATGTTAGCTGGGAATAGATGCCAGGGAGAAAAAGCAAGGAGAGAAGACATTGAAAGTGGAGGGTGTGATTGTGATTTGAAATAGGGAGGGCAGAGCTGGTCTCACTGAGAAAGAAACATTTGAATAAAGACCTGAAGAGGGTTAGGGAGGAGAGCACATCAGTAGTGGAGGGAGAGTGTTACAGCCGAGGGAACACAGAGTGTAGAGACCCTGGCATGAGAGCGTGCCTGTTCTGTTCAGGAAATAGCAAGGCCAGTGTGGCCAGATGAGAGGGATGAAGGTGGTCTCACTGGAGATGAAGTTAGAGAGATGGGCCTAGACTGTGTAGGGGCTCAAAGGGCATTGAAAAGATTTTGGCTTTTTCTTTGAGAGCAATGGAAAGCCATTACAAGGTTTTGAATAGGAAAGGTGACCTCCTCAGACCTATGTTAACAGTATCACCCTGGCTGTGTTTTGAGGAAAGCCTTGGGGTGGGGAGCAGAAAGACCAGTTAGAAGGCCATTGCCATCTGATTGGTGAGTACGCTTTTCCTCGATGAGAAGAGGAGGGTTTTATGAAAGAACTACTTGGGGTTCTAGCTTTATTCTCTCAGTTCTTGCCTGATGCCCTCATTAGCCCTCTGACGTTCGCTTCTACTTTTGTGTGAGTGACTCCCAAGCCCTAACCTTTCTTTGGGTCTCCAGTCTGGATTTTCCGTTTCCAGTAATTGCTGCCAGCATGATCTCTCACTGGGACTGCAAACTCATGTTTAAAATGGAACTCCTCCATCTAGTTCTCAAATTCAGCTCCCTGTAGTTGAGAATCACCTGTCTGGAACCGAGGCCCATCTTCCCCTCCCAGCAGCGTGTGCTGTTTTCACTGCGGTGGAAGCAACCCCAGCACTGTGAGCAGAGAAGCAGTGGCTGCAGCTGAACTTACTGAACTCGCAGGTTCCAGCCGCTTGTCAGGCCCCCTGTGTCGCCCCGGGCTGCTCGCCTTACCTGGCAGTTCCTTACCTCGTCTTGGACTCTTAACCATGTGCAGCTTCCTTCCCTGCAGTTAATGGTCTCAGTCCACATGTCATCTGGGTGTCTAATTGTACTCATATTGCAGAGGAAGAGGCTTTAAACAGTGAGTGGGAAAATGGAATGAAAAGATAGTGAACTTTGCCATAAATTTATATTTGAGAGAGTTGAATTTGGTTTGGTATCAATACAATAGCAATAAAGTTATTAGCATAATAGCCTAAAAGAATCTTTTTACAGTAGTTATTATTTTAATCTTTTGTTGACTCCCAATTAGTTACTACTAAGAGGTTGGGAGAGAAAATGGTTTTGGATGTTGGATGTGCAGTGCTTTCATTACATTAGTTTAATCTGTTATGGGTAGCCAAACCATCCAGTATTTGAAGGGGTGAATCTCCATACCAAAAATGTCTCCATGCAAGCCAAACTGTTGTCGGAAGAAAGATGGTTCTGAGTAGAAGGTATGTTGTAGAGCACTCCTGTACAATAGACATTCCTCAGTACCTATTCCTGAGCTGCTCAAAAACATAGAATTTTACTTTTTGAAGCCTCCCTCCGCACCCCCCCCCCCCCACACACACCCCCACATAGACATTCAAATCCCTTGTTGCTAGTAGGGTAAAAGCTTTATTAGAGTCCCTAGCTTGTGGCCCAAACTTAACTTAACCTTTTCAGCTCCCTTTCCTACTGCTCTTTATACACTGCATGCCAGCCAAACCTGAAGATTTGCTTTTTCCCTGAATCCATCCCAGGTTTCCCTGCTTCCACACTTTTGCTTAATGCTTTTCCTATCTGCTGGAGTCTGCTCACGACTCCAGAAACTGGATGGATTTCTCCTGTGAACTGCTACTGAACTCCCTGGCTTGTCTCTTAGATTCTTTCCATTTCTAACTTTCTTCCTTGCTGGGATAATGTTTTGTATCTCTACCTATAACACAGAGGAGGTTCTGGTGTGTTGCTGTAGGATAAGCATTGGACTCCTAACTGCAGGGTAGGCAGTTCAAACCCACCAGCCATTCCTTGGAAACCCTAGACAAGGTCGTTCTCAGTCAGAACTGACTCGATGGCACTTAACAGTGACAGAGCACAGAGCCAGCTAAGTAAAGAGGACAGGACGTAGTTTCTCTGAATATTTGTCAGGTGACTCCTGCCCACCTGGTAAAACATAGTGATGGTGGTACTTTCACTACACTCTCATAAAGGAGCTCTGCCACAGAAACCCTGTACAGGGTTGCTATGAGTTGGTTCCGACTCCACGGCACATAAACACCAGACTCTCATAGGAGTCCTGGTATGGCACTGTGGGTTAATGCACCAGATTGCAAAGCCATTTGAACTGCAAGGTCAGTGGTTCAAGCTCACCAGCTGTTCCTCAGAAACCCTATACAGGGTGGCTATGGGTCGGAATCATCCCGACGGCACTTAACAACAGACTGTCATAGGGCCTGAGTGGTGGAGTGGGTTAGTAGTGTTGGGCTGCTAACTGCAAGGTTAGCAGTTCAAAACCACCAGCTGCTTAGTGAGAGGAAGATAAGGTTTTCTGCTCCCATAAAGATTTACAACCTTGTGGAAACCCTATAAAGGGTCTCTGTGAGTCGGCAGTGACTCACTGGCCCATATCAGCAGTAGCAGACTCACAAGAGCCCTGGTATGGCGCTGTAGGGTAATAACTAGACTGCCAGCCACAAGGTCCGTTGTTCAGAGCCATTAGGTGTGCCTCAGGAATCCTATACACGTCTCTATGAGTCAGAACTGACTGGATGACACTTAACTATACACTCTCACTTGGGAGCCCTGGGTGCAGTGGTTAAGCAAGAGTTTGACAGTTTAAACCCAGCAGCCACTCAGTGGAAGAACACTATGACAGTCTGCTTCTATGAAGATTTACAGCCTTGGAAACCCTTTGGTGCCATTCTCTGTCCTATAGACCACTATGACTTGGAATCAAGGCAGTGACTCTCCGTAAGGTAATTTTTTTCTTCAACATACTTAATTTTCTTTTGGACCAGTCCTTAACTTCCAGGAAGGTACCTGAAGAGAAAATACCTCCTGTCCTCAATCCAGTGGGGAGACTTGGCAAACATCCAAGCTTTGCCCAAGGCCTGGGAGCAGATTTCAGAAGATGAACACCAAGACCTTGTGCAAGGTAGTGGTTTTCGCTGCTCTCTTGGTCTCTCCTCTTGCCCTGCATCCCATGTCCCTGGAAGCATCATAAAGAGCTTCTCACTGCCTCTGTGTCCTCTAGGGGCGGTATGCTGCAGCCAGTAATTTTCTCTCCCTATTCCAGATACCCTACTGAATGTTTCCTTCTTCCTGGAGGAGTAGAGGAAACTGGGCGTTTGTCTGGAGACCAGGGTGCAGAGTTGAGGACTGACACTGCTGTGTCCTGATGCTTCTGAAGGGATGTCAGCATTGTTCCTGGACATACTTGAATGTCCCTGCTGGACCATGACAACTGGCTCTTGGGAGGACTGGTGCCAGGTGTTTCTGATGACAGGGGTTCTACATGGCAGGTGGTGGCTAGGACCACGGTTGAGACCACCCCTTTCGCTTTCCTGAGGCTCACTTGGGGCAGAAGCAACAGCAGCAGAAATGGCAGGAAGTAAGGAGCAGCCACAGATTGGTCTTATCCTTGACGTCATCTGCACCACTGAGCCTGGTTGACGCCCCATCCTGGTTTCATGTGTTTGTGTTGATCCCTGACTCCTTGAAGAAAGACGAGGTAGCTTTGATGGTTTAAAGAGATGGAGTAATGTTGGAAAACATTTTGAAAAAATTGGTGGGTGGGGAAGGACCAATTGCAGTATTTTCTTATCAGCAGACCAATTTTAGATTCCAGAGCCTACCACCAGGGGGAGATGGTGGAGCATGAATTATTTTGTGCGCTGTAGTCTTCCTTATCCATTCTGGGAATAGTGCACCATACATGCTCTACTTCTCCACTTTATTGGGAAGCTGCTATCCCACTGACAGCATGTGCTGCATGCAGGCGAAGCTCTGCATTACTGTTTGCAATGGAAGGGCCAGGCATGTGCTGCAAGTTACTATTTTTACAGGATATTATGTGGAGTCCGGGTGTGACACTGCAGGTTAATGCTCTGGACTGCAAAGTCTGTTTGAACCGCAAGATTGTCAGTAAAAGCTCACCAGCTGCTCTTCGAAAACCCCATACAGGGTCGCCATGAGTCGGAAGTGACGCGATGGCACTTGACAACAACATATGGAGTCCTGGTCTGTTTGAACCACTAGGTGAGCAGTTCAAAGTCACCAGTTGTTCCTTGGAAACACTATACAGGGTTGCTATGAGTCAGAACCAACTTGACGGCGCTTTGCATATGAGGTGTGGCATCCTGGAGGTGTGATTGTGCAAGATAAACCTTGTAAGTATAGTTCTGGGTTCCTCTACAATCCTACAATAAGCTCTGGTAGCATAGTGGTTACGATTTGGGCTGTGAACCGCAAGGTTAGCAGTTTGAAACTACCAACTGTTCCGTGGGAGAAGGATGAGGCTTTCTGCTCCTGTAAACATTTACAGCCTCAGAAACCCTGTATAGGGTCTTCTCTATGAGTCAGAACTGACTCCATGGCACACAGCCACCACCACCACCTACAATCCTGCAGAGTCCAGAAGGAGGTATATTTCCCACATAGCAAACTCCTTATTACCTACCCAAAATTCAGACACACTCGACAATTCAGCATTTGTGAAAAAAACATTATGTAACCAATTTTTAAAAATTAACTTAGATAAAAATTTCATTTGTCCATGAAATGGTTAACTGGGCTTATGTCACTGGGGTCAGAGTATGGAGAAAGACAGCTTTTCCTTGCCCTGTGGTTTTGGGGTAGAATGACAAGACTCCTAACTGACAGACTTTGTTGTCCAAAGCTGCCAATGGACTTGCCACTTCCTCTGAGCTTGGATTGCTGCTCGGGTGGGAAAGCCCCAGCCCAGAGTCAGGAGATCACAGTTACTTATTATCGGAGGCCCTGGGCCTTCATCAGGAAGTGGACCCAGTGTTTTCAGGCTTACCAACTTGCCAGGGTTGTAAAAATCTGGGACATTGGATGTACAGGGGCTTAATAAAGAGAACACCTACTGCTCACTTGGTAACATGGTTAGGTTCCAAAGACTGAATTGTTCTGTGAAAATCGACATTATATGAAAATGGGGGATTTTTTTTTTTAATTCTATTTAGACTGTTTGTATGATTTTTTTTTTTTAATTTAGCAAATGTGATCTTAGAAATAATACGTAAGATTATTGATGTCGCACTGTAGGATAAAGCACTGGATGGCAAGGTCAACTTGAACCGTAAGGTTGGCAGTTCAAACCCACCAGCTACTCCTCGGACACCCTATATAGGGTTGCTGTGAGTTGGAGCTGACTCGCTGGCACTTAGCAACAACGACAAGACTTACTGATGTGCTCATCACTGTACCGAGTGCAGTTAGGGATTATTCCTTTGCTGAGAAAGGAGGCTTGGAGGAGACAGCTGGAGAAAGACCAGCTCTGTGACTATGAGGGTTGCCCAAGGCTTAACAGTTTCACCTTGCTCCTCTGCTGGGTCAGCGCTTCCTGCTTCCCTCAAGAGCTGCCTCCAGGGCTCCACTCCCACCTCTGCAGTCCTGGAGCTGCTCTGTCCTCCAGGCCTAGCTGTCATCCAGGCTCTGGGCTTCCTTCAGGGCCTCTGAGCACCTGGAGGTGCACCTGGCCCCACCTAGGTGGAAGTCTCAGGCCCAGGTCGACTCACTTTGGGAAGTCATGAATTTTGCACACATTTTCTGTCAAACACCCTCTTCTATGCTTCTTTCTTCCCTCCCTCTCTACCTCACAGCAGTTTCAAGCTTGCAGGGCCTCACCTGTATAACAGCAGGGAACCCAGAACGACTAGGTGTTACTTATCCATCTGCCCAAAGTCTGTGGCCATGGAGGAGGCTGGCGTCACATGGCAGCTGGACACAGTGCCCCTGCCATTAGGAGGGTGTGGGGCAGCAAGCACAACTGCCTGGAGACCGTTCTCAAGGGAGAGGATGTGCCCTGGCCACTGCAGCCCACCACCTCACCAATACACAATAGTCAGGTGGTAGGTTCTTTATTCTGTTGTGAATCGAAATGTCAGATAATGAGCTAGTTGATAAATGGGGAGTTGGTGTATATATATATATATTTAAAAATGCACATGATTTTGTTTTTTCTTACTGCAGCTGTGTTACGTCTTTATTGTCTGATGGGGGGAGGGAAGGGGAGATTAGTCACTGGGTAGAGGGTAGACACACATTAATGTGCTTGGGTGATGGGAAAGGCAGTGTGCACTGGGAGGAGTACAAGAGTTAAAGGGACCAGAGGTCAGTACTGTGAGCCGAGGGTACAGGGAGGGATGGCAGTCATTGTAGTGGCACAGAGTGTACGGTTTGTTCAGTAAGCCTTCACTCAAGTCACAATGAAGTTGTTTATTTTAAGTGATGGTTTTTAAATATTGTTAGATGATTCTAGAACATGTAGAGTAATTTAAAATGCAAAAGCATTAAACAAACTCAAGCAGATACTTTGATATGAACCCTTTTAGTGTCTGGTCCTGGTGTGGCCCTGCAGAATAATGTGCTGGACCTTAAGGTCAGTTTGAACCACAAGGCCAACAGTTCAAACCCACCAGCTGCTCCTCGGAAACCCTATACAGGGTCACAATGGCTTGGAACTGACTCGATGGCACTTAACAAGAAGTATCTATTCACAAGGGTTTTTGTTTCGTTTTTTAACAAATATATCATTGTCGCTAAGTGCTGTTAAGTTGCTTCCAACTCTTAGCCACCCTGTATAGGGATTCTAAGGCTGTAAATCTTTGTAAGTGCAGAAAGCTTAATTTTTCTCTCACTGATGGGTTCGAACTGCTGACCTTGTGGTTCGTAGTTCAGTGCTTACTATTATTTTAAATTGTCTTTTTTAAAAGAACTTTTACTTGAAACATTTACAGATAAAGGAAAAAGCACATTGCCCATCTTCCAGATACCCACTATTAACAATATGATGTCTAGTTTTCCTGGTATTTTATTTTGGTTTATTCTGTCATGAATATAGATTCCTGATGTGGCACTGTAGGGTAAGCACTATAGATAAGCTAACCTTACTCAAGGTTGATGATTCAAACCTATCAGCTGCTCGGAAACCTTATACAGAGTTGCTGTAAGTTGGAACTATTATTACATACATCATTTTATAAATAAAAACTCAAAGAACATTTGCGTTTTGGGTCTTAAGATGAGCTCTTTGACAGATGAAAGAGAGACCTAGAAAGATTTGTGGGCCAACTAGGGAAAGACTTAAGCCAGAGATGATCAAACTTTAATGTTAAAATTTAGATTCTGATTCTGTGGATGTGGGTGGGATCTGAGAGCCTGTATTTCTAACAAGGTGTGTTAGATAATCATGATGCTGATAGTCCAAGGACTTTTGAGTTGCAGAGACTTACACTGTAAAAGAACACTAAGAGTGTTGTTGTTAAGTGCCATTAAGTCAGTTCCAGCTCATAGCCTGGCATAAGAGTTTGCATCTTGTTCTGCAAATGGGAGTTTCTTGTTTGCTTGTGTGTATGTTACAATGAAGAGCTTTTCAAACTTCCCCGTACTGAAACAAGTACTCATGTCTATAATACATGTTTATGGTGCTTAATAATATTTAAGTGTACTTGTTTTTATTTAGTTTCCTCTTAGCTTTTCTTCTGTTAAAATGCTCTCTTAAAATTTAAATTAAATTTGATTTATTTTCTGAATAAGTGCACAATTCACATTGTATGAAATCTTGGATCACTTGCCCTGAGAGAAGTCAGCTGTGATGCTGCTCAGGCAGCCCTGTGAGGAGGCTCCTGTGGTGAGCAGATCCCCCTGTCGCAGTTCAGCTGAGCCTTCGGATGAGACCACAGCCCCAGCTGAAAGCTCGACTGCAACCTCAGGAGAGATGTGAGCCAAAGGCAGCCAGTCAGGCTGAGCCCAGATTCCTGCCCCACTGAGACCAAAATACTGTTCATTTGTTTTTTATGAACTCAGGTTTACTTTAATATGGATACTGAGGGTTAGATTTTAGAAATTGAATACACAGTAGCCAATCATATATTTTCTGTTGCTGCTTGAAGGATGTTCAAGAAATGACACCCCAGTAACAATGAGCACATCAAACACCCAGGACTTGATTTCAAATACCATTCTCAACAGAGTAATCCCCCCAAGGTTTGAATAACATTGCTAATAAAAGGATCCAAGATTTCTTGGAGAAATGGCTATGTTTAGGGTTAGGACAGGAATATGCTAGATGAAGAGTCATGGTATGG